CATTCAACAATATTGTCCATTTCCAATTCCTCTTTCCCCCCCAAAAATACTGTTTTAAATTTGCAAAGCTCTTCTATAGCACAGTATATAATTCCTCAGCATTCCAATTATGTCCAGCATGTTGTATATGACCATAATTTATGGATGCTAGCACTCCTGCTATTAATCTTTGGCTCAAGGACAACAGCATTTCAGCAGTGGACCTTGTTTTGCACAGCATGGGAAACATTTAAACAAAAAATTATATGCCATACATCAACGCAAAAACATCTTGCTTAATCAGCAGTGGAAGCTGTCATCGAGCATGCACGGCGCAACCGGCATCGCAAATCTGCTTAATAAATAAAATCTCATTTCCAGTTTTAGGGTCTCACTGATTCAGCATAAACTGTGCCGTTCCTCAAACACGCACCTTCTTCCTGCTGAGCAAAACAACACAGGGGGCTTCAGCTCTGCATAGCTGACATAGGTAATTCACAAACAGAAGGAAATTACTTCACAACTCCACAAACGGTCGATCTATGAATCAAACATTCTCACACACTGAGTCACAATAGTTTACTGTACAGTTAGCGGTCTCCATACACAGCATCCTGCTGGACCAAGCAATGTGGTGACGTAGGTAATTCACAAACAGAAGGAAATGACTCCACAACTGAAACGGTCGATCTATGAGTCAAACGTTCTCACACACTGAGTCGCAATAGTTTACTGTACAGCTAGCCGTCTCCACAGCATCCTGGTGGACCAAGCAGTGTGGGATGGGCTGTGGGGTGCCTGTAATCAAGATTAAGAGATTTTATAAATTGTTCTGACAAGTGTGAGGGCTGGAGGGAAGCACAGATAGCAGAGAGCGGTTTCTCTTCCCCCACCCAACCATCACAAAGTCCCAACAGTTCAGGAGAGTACCTTTGTTTGCGGTGGCAGGCACAAAACAGGATGTGAGACAGGAAAGCTCCTGCGTAATGAGAGTTGACTGACGTGGCAGAGCGGCTATTAGGGTTCGGTGTTGAGGACACAACCCACATTGATTCACAGATCAGTTGTGGAACATGGTTGATGCACTTTAAACTGAAGCAAATGTGGGTTAATTAGCTTGAAACATTACAAGCTAATTTCTGTCATGTTCATCAAGAGGAGAACAAGGAAGACGGAGAAGAAGAAAACGCTCCGATCAAGGTTATTGCTACTGTAAACATAAGCCACACCCGAACACAAACTGTAAGATGATCAAATGTAATCATAATAGAGAAGTAGAAATATCAGCTGGTTTCACATAGCTTCATATGTTGTTGATAAATGGGTCAATATAATGGGTCAGATTTAGTAAAAATACAATTTAAAACAAGTTCCATTTGTATTCATGTTGGCATATTGGAAAACGCTCATATTAGTTTAAATTATACTTTTGATTTAATGATTCTATAAGTGTTAAGTGCAATGGTTACTTGATATAACCAAGTAAAAAATATACACATGAGCGTAAAAAAACTAACTCATCGTTTTCAATAAAGTTTCCAAACATATTTCTCATGCATCAAACTGATGCATGGATATCAACAAGTTTCCTTGGAGTTTCTTCATTGGTCGTTAACAAAAAATTCCAATTGCTGCCTTTTTTCCCCAAAAGTTAAAAACTAAATGACACAGTCATGGAAGGCCCAAAAGGTCTTCTGTGTTTTATGGTTTTCTTAATACAAGACAACAAAATGGCTTCTTGCATGTTGATTACATTTACTTTAATCTGATGGATAAGACTTTCAGCAATTACTATATTAATAATACTTTACTTCTTACTACTTTACTACACTTTACTTCTTATAGTTTTTGAGAAATAATAAAATAAAAACTTATGATGAACAGTTTTTTTCCAAGGTCTTTTTTCTCTCTTTATTTTATTATTATTTTTTAAACAATTTTCAGATAGTTGCACATCACCTAAAAATGAAAATCAAAACGACTTTTAATTAAGACACTGAATACTCGTTCATCATAGAACAGGTGCACAAATTTAATGCACTTTTCAAGTATTTTTGAATAACATAATAGATCTGGACAAAATGAATGAGCATCACATTACATCACTGACCCAAATAAAACCTCTACAGTAATTCAAGAACACCTCTAACATGACACATTCATATCAAAGCAATACGCCTAAGTAAAAGCACATTTCATAGCAGATACATCTCCTTTCACCGACATTAGTGAATCCTTTTGACATTAGACAGTTGCATGGGGATCATTCGGTGTTCACGCACGTGAAGCACACAGCTGCATGTCTATAAACACCGAAAACAAGACACGAGAACTGATGAATGAGACGGATTGATCTGAGTCTGTCTCTCTCTTCTGCTGTCAACTTTGAGCTACTGCTTGCTGCAAGAGGGACAGAAGATCATTCCCTTTTCCTTTCGTTTTCGTCTTACGTCAGACAGAAAACATCTGTCCGATATGCGCATTTAACATTATTGATTATATGGATCTATCAGATTCCTTTTAAAGACTCACCAATGACAGGAATAAGAACATTTCGATCAGTCTCCAACGTCTCCCGTATCGGTTCCAAGAAGCCATGATGCCGCTGCCACGTCTGGCTACGCAAGCGCAATCCATATTCCTTCAAATCCCCGATGAACGCAGTGCTTCTGAGGAAATGTAGTTTCTTCGGAATTGTAGTTTATTGAGGCGGCCGTAAACTTGTTCTTGTGATGTGTTCATTAAAATGTGTGTGACTTTAGCTCATGTGAATTAGCCTATTTATCAGCCATTCAGAAACGGCGAAATAACATTCTAGTCTAATGACTCACTGGTTTTTGAACACAGGCTTCAAAACTAAAAGCAATGAGCCTATTTTGGATTAATCTGAGGTGTTCAATGATTGAATGAATTGAGTTACAGCATAATTTCAAAATTATTTTCAGCACAGTATATTAAATTGAATGAAATACAGCCAGACTGAAAATGTTAATGTATTGTAATGTATGTTTAATGTACAAAATATAATTCAAACATTTCAGGCTTTGCAAGCAAATGGCCATACCTAAAATTATAAAAAAATTATCTGATCATTTATTTACATGAAGCTGACATATGCATATGAAAGAAAATATAAGCACAATTATTTACAATTATATATAAATTGCATAAAATTATACCATTACATAAAAACACTATGCACTAGAACTCACTATAACCTGTGTGACCTTGCTGAAATCACAGCAGATTTTATAAATGTTGTAAATGTTAAATGGTGTAGTAAAAACTAGGGACACAACTGTAAATGTTCTTTGATCACTGGCAAAAAATATTCCGTTTTGGCCTACAGATTGATGAACAGCTCTCTCTAACAATCAGAATAAACCATTCTTTTGCCACATAATGTCATTTGCCTAACTGCAGTCAGTGGTTGCCAACTAAAGCAATTTATCAGCAGCCTAATTAACTGGCAGTCAGAAGTATCCGTATTATACGTTTTTATTTAACAATACTTGACTATTTTTCAAATTGTTCCAAGGTAGTTCCTCAGCGTTGCTATTTCATTACCCTATTAATAAGTATTTTCTTATGTTTTCATGCCTCATTACGTAAGGAAGGCGCTTAATAATAGGCCTATAGTAACAATTATCATATCATATTTGGATTGTTCGTGCTTATGCGTCAGACACACTGTAGTGCCACCACCTGGATGTGACAGTGGTACCACACAACTGTCTTAATTGATAATTAATTCTTAATAAAGTCCCTTCCCCCAGCTGCATATTGCAACTTGCAGTGTTTATAATGTAATTCCACAGTATGCAGTTTATTTATAAACCATGCATTTAAAGTTAATATTGTTGGACAATTTAAATGTTTATAGGCCTATCTATTTTTTATTATTAAGCTAAATCTATAAATCTTAAAAAAATATGCGGACTACTAAATAGGCCAAAAATGCTTTTCAGCTTCTTTAGACATATTTAGGGGAAATAAACATTGAGTAGTCACATTATTAAAATAATTTGCAATTACTTATTTCATTCTTATACTGTAACTCTCTATAATCTTGATAATCTATATCTGCAATCTGTCTGGAATGGACTTTTCTTCTTCTTCTTCTTCTTAATGGAGATTTCTTCTTAGCAGTTTCAAAAACGAATTTAAATTTTTCATTGATACAATTTTAAGGGAAAATATTTGCCATCTAGAAATGATTTTTACCTTAATGTGGATGTTTTTTTCCCCCTCACCATATAACCACATGATAATCATATATTTTCATATATATATAATTTTTAGTGACATTTTTGCACCAAGTACTGGTTAATTTCTGACACTGCTTCTAACTAAGTCCAATTTCTTCACTTATAAAAGATGCCCTAAGATGTATTTGGTATCACTGTAAACCCATGTGCTTTTGAACATTCTTTGATAATTCTTTGAAATACTCTGTAAAAGCCTGTACCATGAGTGGTATATGAATATGGTAATTGTTCAGTACCACATATAAAAGTATCATGCCATTCCCATATAACATGGTACAATGGTACATCGTGAGTATCATGGTACACCATTGTACAACGGTACAATGGTACATTGTGAGGGTTTATTGACTGCACAACACCAAAACCAAAGCATGATTATGTGACATATTGCCACTTATGGCAACATTGTGAGATCCAAACAGTTAATTAATTGCCATGGTACCTCACTGATTCTAGGGACAGACTATCCAGTCTGAAAATAGGGGTGTTGCTGAATCCCAAATGACAATGTCTTATTGATCATTTGAAACAGGTTAACAGAAACGTTTCTATTACAGAAATGTATTTAGAAGGTAAAAGGCGAGCTTTAACAGCTAATGCAACCACTGTGCCAAACATTTGAGCTGGAGCTTCCTAACAGAGTCTGCACCCCCATTCGTTTGTAGTAGCCTCCTCTTTCCAGCACAGCGCAGTAAAGCAGCTGCAGGTCGATCGGTGGAAGTCATTCACAGAAAAGAGGTTCACTGCACAGGAGACCTACGCAAAGCGGAGTTTGCGGTTTATGCGTTGCGTTTTACGTACGGTAGAGTTTACCCCAGAGGAAGAACATCAGAAGGTAAAAACACTCTCAGATATCATTACCTCACCTTTAAATGTAGTTATTTATAGAAACCGCCTCTAATGTTCTTGGAGCAGGATGATACTGTTAAATACTTTCTGAACTTCTGTGGTCCAGAGTTGTGCGGCCAGATTATACTGACTATCAACATTTCAGCGAATCTCTGTGATTTTTTAAAATGTAAAAAAGAACAATTTGTAAATCTGAGAAGAATATAAACATATGTAATATAATTTCAATTATTTTTGTTTCATTAGGAATACAAAGATGTCAAAGTAGCCTGTGTTTTTAATAAACATTTGCCAGTGAGTAGCAATCTTAGTAGCCCGATTTTATAATGATTAAAGACTCCTGGTTATCTAATAAAACCTGGTTTATAGGCACATTTTCTCTCTTTATGGTGATAACAAAACCCTTATTGGGAATGTTATGTCTTTTAAACAGTCCTCTTCTCTCAGTTTTATCAAAGAAAGGTAAATGTTACATATGAACACAGTATTCAGTACAGTATACCTTTATCCTGACACGGGATTTACTCGCTGCTCACGTTCTGTTCAGGATCCGAGAAATTTTGCTTTGGAATCGAAGCGCTCAAGCTCCCAGTAAAACACGCTGCATTTCACTCTCCTTTATCATCGTTTGGCATTTGAGGGACATGTTTTTACTTTTTATAATCTACTTTTAATCTACTTTTGCACAGGATTTGCGAATAAGATTCTCAGAAGAGGTGGAAGGAAATGTTTTCTCTCAGCTACACCTACATATCGTTGTGTTTTCGCGCAACTGTATAAGCCTTAACAGAAAGGCTATTCGTATTTTATTTGTTATTTGAATACCGTAACCAGTATTTAGCTTTTTACTTATTTATTTTTAAAACAATCGTGAGTCACTATGTTTGACACTGAAAGACACTGCCAGTCAGCTGTCAGATATGTGAATGATGGGCAATGTTATTCAGAAATGTAAAGAAGACATTTTTAATAGGCTACAGCTTATATTTTTCATAGGCACATACAGCAAAAAAAAAAAAAAAAAGGAACAATAACGTTTCTTTTATATTGCGCCTTTCTATAACTTAGCTCGCTTTACAAAAACAAAACAAAGGCGCCAATGCAATGAAAACAGAGATAGTCTACAATAGGCTACTACGTGCTATGGTCAGCAATGTGAATATGTAGCCTAGTACAGAAACAGTGTCACATCTAATGACAGTTTAACTGATATTTTAGGACATGTAGGTGGGAGCTGAACTTATTTTGGGGTCATATCTGCAAGACACATTTCTTGGCAGTTTTAACTCTCCATTGTCAGCCTCGCGCATTTTTATAATGAGCTCAAATCTGTGCTTCGGCTTTGTTACACTAAGTGGCTCAATTTTCATTTTTTGTTTTAATCACTCCCAATGATAAAACCTATCCGTTTTAAAATTTGACTCAATTTTAAATCCGCTTTACTTTTCACTGTCGTTTGAGCTGAAACGATTGCATTTTGGTTTGCATATGATGTTCAAGTTCTCTTCGCGAACCGGAGCGCAGGTGTACAGAACATAGATTGCAGCGCTGGTCAAAAACGGTAGGGGGCAGTGTCGAGTCTTGTACCCAATGCACTCTTTCATAAGAGATGGCTGATAGCACACAAACGGAAGGAAATTCACCTGTTGGCCTGGGACAATCTAAATCAGGGGCGCTACATCTTGGAATCTACCTTCCTGCGGAGCTTTAACTCCAATCAAACATACCTGAAGCAACTACCGTAATCAAGGTCTTTTGGTTCATCCCAGAGTAGTAACAACAACTTTGTTGAAAATGCTGTTATTTAATCAAAAGCAAACGATTGAGCGGTCCAAATCTGTTCCAATCCTTTCATTTTTACATTGTTGGCTAAGTAGGGATAAATGATAGATGCATTTGATGTTCTTTTAAACTAAAATCAAAGAACTTTTATGTATCAAGGTGTGCAAGCTTACATGCTCTCCCAGGACAACATCAAGGTTTGATTTAAGACTGATCAGCACATTAGTTTGGAAAATGAAGGGGCTTGAAAGGAAAATCATTATGGATCCAGGTATAATATTCTCAAAGAAAAAAAAAACTTTTCCTCTTGGGAACGAGTGTGGCTTGTTTTGAAATCCTTTTTTTGTTTTTTCATAGACCCAGTTTCTGAAATCTTTTTTTTTTTTTTTTTCCTCCATAGACTCAATTTCATCCTTGATAGTGGTAGAGTGAACGAATCCTAAGATATTTCCCCATTGTTAAACCTTGAGAGCCCATTGTCTTTCATTTATAGTGAGAATAAATTAGGTCTGGTTTAGTATGTTTAGCCTGACTGTCCTCAGGGGGATTTGGAGATTTATTTACACACGCTTACTTATTCTAGTCAAGCACCGTCTGTCCACTTATTCTTACCACAACACCCCTCACCGCAATGTTTATATGGATGCCTCTTGGAAAAGCATGTATATGTTGGGTTTGTTTAGCTGAGGATTCACTAGGATCAAGCATCTCAGTTGTTTATTAATGATGCTTTATTCTTGGGTTCTTGATCAGGATTTCTATAGGTTCAGACTATGCTTTCAACATCAATTTCAAGAGAAAACCTCAAGGGGGTCCTTATAGTATGACTCACTCACAGAGGTCTGACACTCCACAGTAGATTGTCATCACTCATATGATGAAGGAAGTCTGGTGCTTATTGTGTTTGTCTACGTGTGCCTGAGGCGGCTTCGGAATGTCTCTCTTAACCAAAGAGGCTGTTTGTTTACCGGTCGACTAAGGGCTTTTGTGTATGAGTATTAATATTCATATAGCTCTTCCCCTCCCACCACTACCACATGTGTCAGTCTATTCATATGTTTTCATAGTGCACGAGGCCTCACTTTTCAAATGTAAAGTAGGTTTTCATGTATAATGATCTTATTAGATCGCTTGTCAGTTTGTAAGTGATTAAGTAGTGGCCTCATCTGGATGTTGGTTAGTGAGTGACATCCATAGAAACGAGACGTGGAAATGCAAGGAAATCTGATCATTTGCAATTGATATCATCATAAATTATTTTAGCGCTTGGGAAGTGATGACTTAGTAGCCCTTATCAAAGTTTTAGCGTAAGATGTGCCATGTGAATTATTTCTGATGTGGAGTCATCATTTGAGAGGGACAGTATGGATAAAAGTTTAATGGGAAAGAACTTAATCTGACTGGCAGTACATATGATTGCATGGAATAGAGTGTCAATGTCAAGTGTACGTCTGTCTTCTTGTTTTGGGGTTAGTGAGTTGTCTGAACTTGAAAATTCTGTCATCTTTTGCTCACCCTCATTTCCTTCCAAAACTGTAATACATTTTTTTTTTCCTGTAATATTTTTCCATGCAATGGAAGTCAATGGTCAGTGTGGAAGTCAAACAGTCAGCTGGTAACCAAAAACAGTTTGGTACACCAGCATTCTTCAAACTATCTTGTGTACTGCAGAAGTATTAAAGCCACGCAGTTTCTGAACATTATGAGAGTGAATGATGACAGAACCATAGAGGTGTAAAGTCATATAAATTTATAAAGTTCCCTCTGAAAAGCTGTCAGCAGATTCTTCATGCTCATAATACAGTTTTACTCATTCATTAATGTCTGAAGAAGCATTTTCTCTATCATAGCACTTCTATATTAGATCTCCTCAAGGCACCCAGAATTCATCTTTCTGAATTATCCTAATGATATCTTCCATAAGAACCGGTCTGCTAATATGTTCCAGCTAAAGTGTGTGTGCGTGCTGTGCCTGAGTTTCTAAGTAAAGTCAGTTAAGGAGCCATTAATGCGTCGACATCATTCAAAACCCTCTTTATTATAATTTTTTTTTAGCTTTTGAGAGAGAAATTGCATGTTTAGTTCTTGAGTGTTAAGCTAAAGTCAGCCTAGGAGCTGGAACTTACTTTTTGTATGCACAGTGCTCTGTTTCAAAGCATTTTAGAGGGGTGCAAGGTAACTGCCAGTGTATGCTGACATTTTCTGACCTGACACATTGCTTGAGTTTTTTTTTTTTAAACCATATTTAAAGGAAGGTTTCTAACAGGCTCTTCTAAAAAGTCTCTAAGTGACGTTCGCTGTGTAATAAGCATAATAATCGCTGATACTGCCCTGCTGGTTATGTATCCTGAAAATGATTTTTCATTTGACATTTCCTTTTTCTTGCATTGATAACACGCCTCCACAAGCTTTCATGCTCTGCAGTTGTGGCCAGTGTTTTATTTAATCTTCCCAACCTGGTAGCCATGCCTGTTTGTGCCATATCTCTTGTGTTAGCTTTTGAAAGAAGCTTCTTAATGTTTTACCAGTTTTCATAATGTAGAGAGTGTACATGATAAATATAAACTCTGTGTAAAACTTGACATTCTATTTATTTATTTATTATTCTTATTGTTGTTATTATTTTGCCAACTGTTTTCAAAACCCTTTACTACAGAGGTACTATGATGCATTCTCACATGACAAACTAACAAGTTCTTATGAAGATGAATAGGGCGTTATACTTGAATGATTCGCTTTAAATGCTATGTTCTCATACCTCTGCTTCCCACATGTGTGCAAAATGATTGCCAGGCAGAAAGCACCTCAAAGACTCTCTGTTAGCTAAATAAAGAATCTGACTGTGGACCATGGTCATATTCTTGTTTGCTGTTTACATAGACTGTCATTAAGTGATACACTGATATAAAATGTAGTATTAGGTAATAGTGATGTTTTATGTGTGCCATTCCATAAAAATGACTCGCACCACTTTGCCCCCCGCAAAAAAAGCAGTGAAGTGCAAAATTCAAAATACAGGTAAAACACCCGTAGAAAATAGAAAATTCATATTAATAAAGTGCACCCTATTTTTACTGATTTTTTTTACAGTGTACTTATACAGTGAAAAACTAAATGGATTAACATCACATTATATGTAATTTTCTGTCAAATACTGTCAAATTTATGGTTTTTGCAAGTAAAAGCTTTGAAATATAGAGAGAGAGAGAGAGAGAGAGAGAGAGAGAGAGACAGAGCCATGATTAACTTGACCATTCAAAGAATGATCATAATTTTGCCCCAGTGGCTTGTCAGGCAGAAATGCAACATATCCTGAACCTGTGGTGCCATTGGTTCTGAAAGAGGAAACTTAGTTTATGGCGTTCCCAGGCCGTCTCTAAACGGGAAAAATGTTGATCCCCTGATTGGTGTGAATTGTTGCTTTTCATGAAATGCTTCATTATTATTCTTGCTATCAAGGGGTGGAACAGAAGGAGTTTGGTGGCCTTTGGCTGCTTCTCAAGAATATTGTAGGAACGCCCTGCTGTCTTTTGTTTGTCAAGGGGGTAGGGATGGTGGGGTGTGTTGAATTAAACGTATTCCCCAAACAGTTCATCTGGAGCTAGGCTGGAAAAACAATCGTGTTGATGGATTATCATCTTGGTCTGTTCATTTCTCATAATATGTGGCTGCATATTGTTTTCAAATGTGCAACTGTCCGTAGCGCAACCCTTCTGAATGTTAGAAACCTGGTGTGGATGAATGGCGGGGCGCTACTCGGTCTGTGAAATGTGATCTGTGATACGGCTGAGCTGCTCGCTGTCTGCAGCCCTAATTAATACTTGATGTGATTGAAGGCGCTCAATTTGTCTGGAGTCTTATCTTGTCAACACGTTTGTTGTTGTTGGTTTTTTTTTTTTGCCAAATGTTTTTCAGACAGACGGCAGCTGAAATACAACAAACAATTAAGCCTTGGAACCGACAATTACGTCCTATGTTGTCATGGAGATGTTTCTACACAAATCAAGCGAGACGCATTGCTCACTCTTGTGGGTTCTAATTATACGAATGCTATACTTCCTTAATCCCACCTTTTTCGCAATTGAGAAATTGTGTCTCTTAGCAGGCTGAAGTTTTCTCTCAAGAGTTCCTGTCAGCTCCCGAAGCCAGTGAGATGAGTGGCGAAATGTCTTTAATAAATATAGCAAATGTCTAGATGCAAATACTTCCAGTTTGAGAACTCAAGTTATTTGTTTGTCGTTTGTCATAGTGAACAGTGGATTGTCATTTTAATATTTGTAAGGCTGGTTTTCTTCGGCCCGCTGTCAAGGGAGGGATGCACTTGTATGCAAGCGGACGTGAAGGCATGCATCTTTTCATTGGCATTGTTCGGTCGAAGGAAGCTTCAATGAGGAGACGGGGAAAAGGGTAGAGACCAAAATGCTCTCACAGTTGATTTGCCCATTGTGGGGGAGGAACACTATTCCCATTGATGGTGTTGTTGGTGAAGCCCCCAAAAGCTGGAGAAAGGGGGCCCATTCAGTGCAATGGGTGACCCTGCACAGCTATGGGAGCTGGGTGTTAGTGCTTTTGTGGAGCACGGTGGGAACCTTGTCCCCATTCTAGTGATTTAATACCCCAGGTCCGAGGCACTTTGCTATCTCCCCTAAAATGTTCATGTTCTGTCCTATATCTTTTTCACAAGGTAAAATGTCTAGTTATAATATCGCTCATCTATTTCTGTTGGAAAAAGGTGAATGAGCAATTTGCAGTCAAATGATCTGTGTTACCCTATAGATATGGAAGCCACTCAGAGTGAAAAATAAAGCTGGTAACTGTGAGATAGTTTAAAATAAGACATAAAATCCCATTGTGAGTTATAAAGTCATGAAGATGAGAGATGTCAATAGTCAGCTTACCTTTTTTTTCACTCTGAAGCAAAAATTAGCTTCCATATCGACAGGATGGTCCAGCA